ATGATAATCAACTTTAACCTGTATATATAAATACATATGGTAATCAACTTTAACTAGTATATATAAATACATATGATAATCAACTTTAACCTGTATATATAAATACATATGGTAATCAACTTTAACTAGTATATATAAATACATATGGTAATTAACTTTAACTAGTATAAATACATATGATAATCAACTTTAACCTGTATATATAAATACATATGGTAATCAACTTTAACTAGTATATATAAATACATATGGTAAACTACTTTAACCAGTATATATAAATACATATGGTAAACTACTTTAACCAGTATATATAAATACATATGGTAAACTACTTTAACCAGTATATATAAATACATATGGTAATCAACTTTAACTAGTATATATAAATACATATGATAATCAACTTTAACTAGTATGTATAAATACATATGGTAATCAACTTTAACTAGTATATATAAATACATATGGTAAACAACTTTAACTGTATATATAAATACATATGGTAAACAACTTTAACCTGTATATATAAATACATATGGTAAACTACTTTAACCAGTATATATAAATACATATGGTAAACTACTTTAACCAGTATATATAAATACATATGATAATCAACCTTAAAAGTATATATAAATACATATGGTAAACTACTTTAACCAGTATATATAAATACATAAGGTAATCAACTTTAACCAGTATATATAAATACATATGGTAAACTACTTTAACCAGTATATATAAATACATATGGTAATCAACTTTAATCAGTATATATAAATACATATGGTAATCAACTTTAACTAGTATATATAAATACATATGGTAATCAACTTTAATCAGTATATATAAATACATATGGTAATCAACTTTAACTAGTATATATAAATACATATGGTAATCAACTTTAACTAGTATATATAAATACATATGGTAAACAACTTTAACCTGTATATATAAATACATATGGTAAACAACTTTAACCATTGTATATATATATATACTTATATATATATATGGTAAGCAACTTTAAGAATATCAGAAGCTCTTACACTAAGAACTTTGGTTATTGTTAAATTAAAATAAGGTTTTAGCGAGTAAAATAGAAAAGACGAACAATGAAAATGGATACAAAAATTATGTATCTAATAATAATAATACGCCAGTAACTGTGTTTCTTTGTTCGTATGTATGATTGAATTTACGTTAGTTAGTCTCTATTTCTCTGGGGAACAACAGAATTATGATTAGATGTTCTATAAGTACATCGTATCAAAGTTACTTGTATTCTAAAAACGTAATCGTGACGACTGCTAATTATTCGCCAAGATAATTAGGCAGAACAAAACGTTACAGGTTGTTGTATTCTCTGGAACAAAACAGGTAACTTAAAATCCAAGCTTAACTTTGGGATACTTTTTCTTATAATTATTTATGTGATAGAAGTACAAAGACTTCATTTTTACTAAAATATTTAAATTATTATAAACGTTAATTCCTATTTATTTGATACATTAACATTGTTCTTTTCTTGTTTGTTCCATTCATAATCTGAGTTTGAAATTAAATCACTATTTTATCGAGATGTTCCGTGTTTATATGGTTGACAGCAACAATCAAATCACGAATAAAAACTCACTTTGTTTACGTAATTTAATAAAAATGGAAAACAAACTAGTACAAGAACCCACCACGTTGAAAAAAATGTGTATTTTATTTGAAGAATACCGATTTTAAAATAAGAAAAGCCCACCACTTCATATTCAAGTCCTTAGAGAAACTAACCTTTGATTTAGAGATTGAATGTTGAATGACTTATTGCAAACTAAGATGAAGCGTGACATATTTTAACTAGATGTGCAAGAAATCTGTACAATTTCTTGGAAGCAACGATTCGTGAATAAAATATACTTCATAGATAATTTTAATGATTGTATGGCGTGCATAAAGAAAGCTTTTCTGTCTAATTATGAATGCAAGAAACAAGGTACAGTTTTTAGCTTCCATTAATAGCCAGCCATCTTCTGTCTAGTTATGAATACCAGAAACAGGGTAGAGTTTTTAGCTTACATTAATAGCCATCTTCTGTCCAGTTATGAATACTAGAAACAAGGTACAGTTTTTAGCTTACATTAATAGCCATCTTCTGTCCAGTTATGAATACTAGAAACAAGGTACAGTTTTTAGCTTACATTAATAGCCATCTTCTGT